TATCACTTGCAAAGAGGGAAAGGAGAAATAATCTGAATATTTGGGACTCCAAAAATTGTCTTGTACCAGTAATACGCAATTTTCTATCTCCACTGACCAGACATAGAGCAAGAAAGAGAAGGAGAGTGGAGCGCTAAGGAGAATGGGTAACCTGAGAGGCAGCCTGTAGTCTCTGACACTTCCTGGGAAACCTTGGTTTTCCATCTAGAAACAGTTTTGCTTCTAGAGTGGTGGCTGCAGACATCCATTCTCTGCCTCGCCCTGGACTTCAGGTCCAGTAGGGAGCCAGCCCCAGGCAGGCTCACAGAACAGTCTTTTTATTTATTTATGTAAAAACAGTTTATTGTATTTTTCCCATCACCACTTACCCCCCATATATTCCCTTCCTTTCTGCAGTCACCACAATGTTGTCCGTGTCCATGAGTCCTTTTTCCTTTTTGTTCGATCCCTCCATCCCACTCCCTAACCTCCACCCCCTCAGAGCTGTCTGCCTGCTCTCCACCTATAAGTCTGTCTCTGTTTTGCTTATTAGTTAAGTTTGTTCATTAGATTCCACATATGAGTGAAGTGATATGGTAACTGTCTTTCTCCAACCGGCTTATTTCACCTAGCATAATGTTATCCAGGTCCATCCATGCTGTCGCAAAGGGTAAAATTTTCTTCTTTTTTATGGTCGAGTAGTATTCTTTTGTGTAAATGTCCCATAGTTGTCTTATCTACTCTCTACTGATGGACACTTGGGATGTGTCCATATCTTGGCAATTGTAAATAACGCTGCAATGAACATAGGTGTGCTTCTGTTCTTTTGATTAGTGTTTTAGGTTTCTTCAGATAAATTCCCAGAAGTAGAATCACTGAATCAAAAGGCAGGTCCATTTTTAATTTTTTGAGTAAACTCCATACTGCTTTCCACAGTGGCTGCACTAGTCTGCATTCCCACCAACAGTGCACTAGGGTTCCCTTTTCTCCACAACCTCTCCAGCACTTGTTGTTTGTTAATTTATTGATGACAGCCATTCTAACTGGTATGAGGTGACATCTCATTGTGACTTTAATTTGCATTTCTCTGACAATTAGGGATGTTGACCATTTTTTATATGTCTATTGGCCATCTGTATGTCCTCTTTGGAGAAATGTCTATTCAGGTCCTTTGCCCATTTTTTAAATTGGATTTTTTTTCTTGATGCTGAGTTTTATATGTTCTTTATGAATTTTGGATATTAACCCCTTAGCAAATGTATTGTAAAAACCCTAGAGGAAAACATAGGCAGTGAAATCTCAGTCATTGTTTATAGCAGTATTTCATCTGACATATCCCCTCGGGAGAGGGAACGAAAAGACAAAATAAACGGTGTGACCACCTCCAACTAAAATGTTTTTGCACCACAAAAGAAATTATCAACAGAATAAAAAGACAATCCACTGAACGGGAGAATATGTTCACAGGATAGTCTTTAGGTCAACATTCCACAGGCTGTGGAGGAGCAAGAAAAGGAACTGAGAGGTAAGGAGGCAACTGGCTTCTTAACACTCACCCCAGGTGCTTAGAAACCGCTTAAAACAATGACTAATTTACCCGCTCAGAATGGTTGAGTTGTGGCTTGTTTGTTTGTTATGCTTCCCTTGTTTCCTTATTATTCCCTGGGCACCAGCTTGCCTTGACTTTACAGTCTGCAAAGGTTTATGACCAAGAAAACGAAAGGCACAATTTTGTAAGCATTGTGATGGATCCTGGTACCTTGCTGGAGCCTGAAATTAGGGGTTTGAACACATGTCTGTTTCCCTTCCGCCTCTAAAACATTAACAAAGTGGGGATAATATAGGGGTTTCCTTCCCTGCCGGGACACAGCCCCCTGAAATGCCATTAGGATGAAAACACCAGTGTTTGTCAAGAATGCAGAACAGTGTTTCCCAAAGTGTAATTTTGGGGACCCCAGCCCCCAGAAACGTTCTGCTGGTGAAAAGCTTCACGGTCAGAGCTTATCAGTGGGGTCAGAAGCTGTGTGACTCCGGAGGCCCCCACAGAGGTCCGGTTGTCCTGTGGTCTGTTCACACTCTGCTCTGGAATCCCAGGAGTTTCTCTCAGCAACTTGCCATTCGTCGTCTTCCGACATGTGCAAGCCCTCCTGGATGCTGACACTGTGCTCCAGGGCGCACCCCCTCCCTGGAGGATCGGAGGGTCGGCTGAATGCTGAGGCTGTGGCTCTCCGCAGGGGACAGCCATATTGAGGTGGGAGGAGGAACTCTTCAGCAGGACGAACAGATCATTTATATTGCCTCTGGGACAACAGAATGAAGGGGTGCTATTAATCATAAATTAGTAATTAGACCAGCAAAACAGGTGTCAACTAAACTGTCCTACATATACAGAGCTGACACATGACAGAGGATTATGCTTTTTGTCTGTCATTTGGGTAGAAGTCACAGGGAAAAAGTTTTCAGTTCATATGGAAAAAGGATTTCGAACAGAGACCCTCCAACAACAGTATGTGGCGGTGAGCACCCTGTCATGCAGATACGCAAGAAGGTACCTGACAACCCACCCACCGAGATGCTGTGCATAGAAGACACTGACATGGCAGGGAAACGCCTTGGGTGGTGTCTGTGATCTGAGGTGCCTACTCTTTGTCCTCTCTGCAGATGGGGGTTAGTAGCTTGTCTGATACATGGGACCAGACCCTGCCAATCTGATTCGTGCACACACACACACACACCCACTGGGGCTGAAGGAAAAACACACCAGGACTGAAAGGTTAAAGACTTATTTTTAATAATTAATACTCACTGGTGCTGATAGGTAATGTAAATATCTTTTTGTTTAAAATGTTAGATTTTACAGTATAGTCTTGTCTTCAAATAAAGACCATTCTGTGATATGTAAGCAAAGATATGATCAAAACAATTTGAAGTGGATTGGAAGTAGTTCTGATGAGCCAGCTTAGGTTTGATGGATCAAGTTCGGTCAATAAATAATTGTACTTTGGTTAATTAAGATGTTAACATTGAGGAAAAATGTAAGGGTGGGAAATACAAGGGGACTCCTTGTACCACTTTTGCTACTTGTCTTTAAATCTAAAATTAGATTTTGAAAAAGCTTGAGTCCTTTGCTCCTGAGCCCTGACTGATGGACCCCGCTCACTCTAAGCTCAGCTTCAGAGGAGCATCTCAGAGTCCCGCTGCCCGGCTGGGAGTCCTCAGCCACCCCACATGTCTTGCAATTGTACCTGCCACCTACTAGTGTGATTTCCTGACCATGCGACAGCTGACAACTTCCTCATCTTATTCTGAGCTTCTTTTGGACTGAAAAAAATTGTTTGCATTTCGTCTTTACTTCCTAACACCAAGCCCCTTTCAGTATTCAGTACATAGCTCTTAAATGAATTTATAAATCAATCCAACTTGAACAGGTTTTACAAATTTTGCTTTCTTTTTAAATTTTTTGGTAAAATATGCATTACATAACATTTATCATTTTTACCATTTTTGGTGAGTGCACAAGTCAGTAACATTAAGTACATTACAATGATGCGTTATTTTTCTATCATATTAAATGGCTTAAATTGGCCACAATGATTAGAACTGTTCGATCCACTTAATCTAGACCCATGGGATTTGTGACACTCAGAATTAGTGTAATCCCACTCATACCAGATGCCTGCCACCAGAATCTGTTTAACATCAAGTGTGGGGTTTTTTTCACCCCATTTGAACCAGTGAATCAGTGAAAACTGGCTCTGCCCAGGCTCTGGGCCCGAAGTCAGCTCTCTTTCTTTGGTCTGACCCCTTGCTTTGCCACTTTCTCTTTTTTCATGCTTTCCTCCCTGGAGTCTTCTGCCCTGTCGCACTCCCTCCACCCCCACAGCACCCATCCCTGGTTCTGCCTGGCTCTGGGACAGGAAACTTGCCTTCTACCACTACCTTCACTGTCACACCCTGCACCTGCACTTTTAAAACAACTCCTGCTTTGGACTTGGGAGACAATGGTAAAAAATAGGGTGCCTCATATTTAGGGATACTGGCTGTATTTGGATCACCTCTCCCACCCCCTTCATGGCGAGGAAAGACGTTTTCTCTCCTTGCTGTTTCCTACCTCACTAGCTCTAGACACCTGTCTGTCGATGTACAGAGTGTAGCACTGCATTAGGAGTCCAGAATCTGGGCTCCAGCAGTGTTCCTGCCATTAACTAGTTGTATAATTGTGGTCATGCCCTTTTTGGGACAGTATTTCCCAATTAGTAAAAAGATGGGCTTGGGTATACAGATCAAAGTTTGATGATAAGGATGATTACAATGATGATGATTTTGTGGCGCGTTTTTTCTTACCACACAGTATTACCCTAAATAATCAAGAAGCAATGCTGGACCACTCCTGCCAGGGAGTGTTTTCTTCTTCCCCATGCTGCCTAGCCCCAGGTAGAATTTGGAGGGCTTTTGTCCTTTCCTCCTGCCTTCAGGAGCCCAGTGAGTCTTCTCTTGTGTGTGAATATGTGAGTAACTGTGACTGTGTGTGCCCTTTAGACAAGGGCTCTTTCCGTCACTGACTTCTCTGCTCCGGTTTACAGAACAATTTTTCTTGCTGGCTTACTGCCCCAGCCCCATCCTACGCCACAACCCGAGGATGCCCACGTTCCTCCTGTACTCCAGTCCTTCGATAAATCCTGTAAACTTCAGGATAAGACTCACGAGGAATTCAAGACCTTCCACCATCTGGCCCTCGCTTACCTCCTGGTTTCACCAGACATGGCTAGCCCGGACCACTCTCCCTTCCACTCTCGCCACCCTCTCACCTCTGGCTAGACTGCCAGTCCAAGTGTGGGATGGGACCCGGGGATCTGCCTCTTTTCATCCTTGGAAGAGGCCTTTCAGGAGTCACAGGGAAGGACTGGGGGGCTGGTTCTTTTCGAGGCGGCCGCCAGGCGGCGGCAGGAGCAGCCCCGGATGACAGCAGGAGGCCGCGAGCGCGGGAGGGAGGAGGGACGCAGGAGCGCGGGTCCGGCTCTCGGATCGCAAACTCCGAGCCAGAGCTTTCCGCGCGCGCCCGAGCCGCCGGCTGCCCGCGCGGCCCGACGCGGAACCGGGGCGCAGCGGGAGTCCGTCTAGGGTGGACGCAGGGGGCGGTGGCTGCGGCAGCCGTCCATGAGGCGGGCTCGGGCTGCCCGTCACCGGGAACCACGCGGGGTGAGGCGAGGCGAGGCGGCCGCCGGCCGCTCCGGGACGTGGACCGCCAGGTGAGCAGAGCTGCCCGTGCCGCGTGCCCCGCTCCCCCGCGCACTGGGTCCGCGCTGCCCCGTCCCCGCCCCGGGCCCCGCCGCCGCTGCCTCTTGGGCCCCCTCTGAGCCGCGGCGCGGACGGCGCGGGGCGCCAGGGCGCAGTGGGTGTGTCCGGGGCGCTCAGGACGGCGCCCGCAGGGGCTCTGGGAGCCAGCGGCGCCAGGTCCTTGCTAACGGCTGCTCTTCCTTTCCTCTCTTCCCTTCCTGGAGGATTTGCTCTGTCCCTCCGGCGCCAGCACTCACCCTCCGCCCTCCAACTCTGAAACTCTAGGGGCTGTCGGCTTTGGCGGTCCCGGAGGCAGTGCCCTCGTGCTCTGGGTCTCGGCAGGGGGCTGGAGAGTGCACACCCAGCCTGCGTGCCCCCACCCCACTGCGTGCCCCCACCCCACCGCGGCCGGAGAGCTGGCTGGTCCGGTCACGGTTGAAGCGCGTCGAGCTGCGGGCCTCGGCCACGCCGTTTCCTAAAAAGCCTCAGATCCTCGTGCGTCTCAGCTAAGCCCTGGCAGCCCAGCGTCTGCGGGAGTCGGAGAGGATGGGTTGTTTCCACCAACTCGACACTTCCCCGAGTGCAGGCCAAGTACCTGCAGTCCCTTGGCACGCTCTTAGAATTAGCTTTTCCAGAGCTAGTTCACCTTGGGGCTTCAGGGGCTTGGGAGTTATTTTTTTTTCTTTGAAATAACATCAGCCCAATCTTGGGAAGGGGCTTCAGGACGTTCTTAGGCCCACGTAGCATCTGGAATGTGTGGGTTTGGTGTTTCCTGCGTGGTTCATACCCAGCTCCGCACCCGCCCCCCCCGCCCCAGCCTGCACTAGTAATGCCTGTTGATTGTGTGTGCTTGGGTCTCTTCCTGTCTCTGTGACCCCACCACGCAGCACTTCTCCCTTCTGCAGGCTGTAAGCGAATCTGAAGTCTTGGACCTGGTAGCTGAGCAATCTTGCGGGATGCCTGCTGGAATTTTGAATAAGAGAAACAGAGACCCAAGAGAGGTCTAAGGAATTATCTTGTCCAACTGTCATTTCCCAACTGGAGGCACCCAGACACAGAATACTCTAAAGATATTTCAAAGATTGCATAGTGCTTGAAACCTGCACAACCTGCACATGTCTATCTTCTCCTCCATTGATAGAGGTGATGAAGTGGTTGGGCTTAGTAAGTTCTTACTGGGTCTCAATATATAAAGAGGCAAACATTTTAAGAACGTGATTTAAACACAGTACTTCACAACTCCTATAAAATTTTGTTGGCACCATAGTTGAATTCCTTTAGAAAATAAAATCCCTGCCCAGGAATCGATGTGAGGAAGCAGATGGGAGTCCTGGGACTTTCCTATGAACCTTTGCAGGACTGGAGCAGGGGCTTCCCCAGGGGTGCTGGCCTGGAAAGTGAGGGTGCAGTATTCACTGAATAAGCAGTATATCCGCCTGACTTTTGTGGGGAGTCCTGGTGGGTTCAGCTCATGTGGGCTTGTCCTTGCCCGCCACTGAGCAGGGCACAGGTGCGTCTTATCTTTATCTCTGTCTCCCCTGTCATGGACAAAAGTTTCTAACTGGCTGTTAGGAAAAAATAAAATAAAATAAAATACAACCCAGAGTTGGGGAGTAAGATCAGGGTTGGAAATTCTGACTTGGAGGTGTTACGGTTTTTTGTTTTGCTTAGGAATGCTTGTCGTGATTGCAACCAATTACACTAGGGAGAGGCCAGATGTCATCCCTCTCCTCAGTCCCTCACATTTCTGTCCATGGCACCACCTTTTCCCCAGTTGTCCGAGAGTCTCAATGTCAGAGTGCTCCCGACTCCCCTTGTCCCACTCCCCACATTCATTGCTCATTCATTACCAAGTCCCTTCTGCATTCTTTTCTGATATCTCTGAAAATTATTTTTCTGTCTCCATTCCTTCTGCCTCCACCTTACGTCCAAATTACAGTGATAATCTCCTCTCTTGACTCCTGGCCACGGTCTCTTTTTTCATTTTAATCTATCTTCTTTCATGCTGACAGATTAATATTCCTAAAATTCTGATTTCAGCACATCATTCCTCTCAAGAAATCACAATACCGCCCCCCCCCCACACACACCAGATTCATTTCTATTTAATTTGCCTTCAGCAGATATTTTCAAGTATCTGCTGTGTGCCAGGGACTGTTAGCTGTATGCTGGAGCTTCAAGGAAGAACAAAACCATGTCCTTGCCCTCAATTTGTTGACAGGCTAGCAGATGATTAATGGCCACCTGGGAGAGAAAGAGACATAAAGAAATAACCACATGCAAAAAAAACAATGCAGAATATTGGGGGTGTGCAAAACATCAAGGAGGCACAGATGAGGGACACATTTTTCTGCATGGGAGGAGCTAGGGAAGTTACAGCTAGGCTTTGAAGCATGAGGTGGAGTCCAAAGAGGGAGGAAAGGCTGGAAGAAGGAGGGGTACTGGCTAGGGGGAAGAGCTTGAGCAAAGCTCTAGAGATATGAAAGTGCTGCTATGGACAGGGTTGAACCAAGGTCATTCTTCATCTGGGCATTTAAAACCATCTTAATTCCAGTGTGCTTTATTGATGCAAGAGCACCCCAATTCTTTCCTGCCTGAAACCCTCCCTCCACTTACCCAGCCTCTTTATTGTGGCTCAGAAGTTCAGAGGTCCTCTCTGCTAATTCAGGCCTCGCCAGGAAGTGTGTCCCAGCCTCCGTGCACACTCCGCTCTCTCTCCCCCCTGGACTACCTTCTGTGTCCTCCTGCATTCTCTGCCCTGACTCCCCATTCAGCCTGGACAAGTCCGGGTGAGCAAGCCACATCTTCTCAGGCAACCTGAAGTTTCTCCAGGCAGCCCCTTGGCCTCTTCTCTGTGGGCCTCTCCCAGGTGGGTAGCACAGTGCTAGCTCATTACTGGCACCAGCAAAGTCCGAAACGTGACTTGACAGGGTCCCACTTTCCCCATCTTTCTCTTCTTTTCTCTGAATGTCCTCCCTGTTATCTGGGGTGTGTGTGCTCATGTGCACAGTATGTATGTGTGGATATAAAGGTTCTTGTCCACTTATTGACTGTCTTCTCTGTGAAAATAATGGGTCAGAAATGTTATGTCAGTAACATATGGCACAGACTGATGTTGGGAATGGGGGGGCGTTTGGAGGAGGGAGGGTGTTCAGTGGGAGGTCCTTGCTCTTCTGACTCTGCTCCTTTTCAGGACCCCTCCTCTTCACTCTTCCTCGGCAGGATCCGTGCCCTGAGGCTGGGCCACCGGACATCTCCTGTGCCTGCTTCACCCTCTTTTCTTTCCACAATATGCCAACATTGACTTCCCTGGTTTCTGGGGGCCTCGCTGGCCTGATGAGCTTACTCGGCTTATGTTTAGTGAGCACTGGTGTGTACTGTGCTTGTGCTTTCATCCTCCAGCAACCTGTGATGGAGACGTCATCATCTGTATTTTATAAGGAAGAAGACTCCGTGTTACTTGCCTGAAGTCAACAACTCAGGTTTTGAACCTAAATCGTAGAACCCAGCTCTCTAAGTCTGGTGCTCTTTCCAGTGCATTGTGTTTTCCTGAAAGGGTTGTCTTAAGAACATCTGAATCAGAGTTTTTCCCATCAGGATCTGGTGGGGAAAATTTTTTTAAAAAGATTCCAGGGTGGACGTGGGCCTAGGAGTTGACATTTTTAAGATTGTCTCAGGCTATTCTTCTGCAGGCTCAGGTGTGAGGTGACAGGTGGTCAGATCCTATGCCACTTTATTCCAGGTACAGGCTCCTTTCTAACAGAGGCCTTTGACTCTAAGGCACAGGTGGCAAACACAAGGCCCGTGGGCCGAATTATCCAGCCTGGCACCTTGTTTCTACTGGGTGGCAGCGCTGAGTTCTCGCTTAACTGTTAAGGAGTAGTTACATTGATACAGTCCTAAAATTACATTCGGCCCTTTGAAGGCAATCCTGAGGTTGATGTGGCTCCCTGTGAAAATGAGTTTGCACCCCTGCTCTAAGGAGTGAGCCATGGAGCATGGTGGCCCGGGCCAGGTGGAGAACCCTCTTTTCGTGAAAGGGGTCTTTAGCTCAGTCCTGAAAGCACACACCCCACCTGCTGATGGGAGCGGGCATGGAAGTCCTGCCTCCATTGGGCTTGCTATGAACTGCTTTCCAGGCCTGAGCCAGTGCTGAGGGAGAAGGATCGGGGTGGGTTGTTTGGGAACTCCAAGTTTCCTGGGGTAAGGAATGGGCTGGGATTCCCCCAAGAGGACCGACCATCCCTTGCCAGCAATCCCCACTAGGCACAGTGAGGTGCACCAGGACGGGGTCTGGTCATTGACAGAGTTCCTTCATTCTAGAAGCCTGTATTTTGCCCCTCTCCAACCCCTAGCCTTAGTTTCCCTATCTGTGATAAGGGGATGGGCAAAGCCTGGAGGGGGCTGCAGGGGCCAGTGTGCAGGCATGTAGAGCGTTTGGTGAAGGCCTGGCACATAGTAGGTGTTCAGTGTCAGTTTTTGTCCCATTTTTTTATCTACTTGTATCTCATCAGTGCTTGGCAGGCTCTTGGTGCCCAGTATATGTGCTGTAGAAAAATATATAATCGTAGGCCCTCTCAGTTCAGGGGGCTTGGGTCTAAAGGGCCGACTCTTGCAACCTCATGTTGAAACCCAGTACATGAAGCTGTGCAGTAATAACAGCAATGAATTCTCCATTCAGCATCCTCTCTCCACACCAGTTTTTCTTTAGGTTCCTCCAAGAAGAATCTAAGAAGCCAGTAGGTAGCAGTTTTCTTTATTAATGGTTAGTCATCCTGGTACGTGGTCTGTTTCTACCGTTGTCTTCTTTTTACCTAATCTTTCACCTAAACACACTGCACATCATCCTCTTTGAGGGGCCTTGCCGAAGCCGATCACTCAGTGGTAGGTGCCTGGCAGAATTGTCCCTTAATCCCTCTCCTCTTGGGAGTGGTCCAGAGGACACAGGGGCAACCATGCACTGTGGTATCTT